GTGGCATAGTGGGTTATGCATTGGGCTCTGAAGCACATGATCAGCAGTTGAAATCCACCAGTCACTTCATAGGAGAAAGAGAAGGCTTACTGTACAGCCTTAGAAACCCTGTACGGGATCACTGTGAATTAGGACTGACCCGATGGCATACCATAATAACTACAATAGCCATTCGGCTGTGGCACTGAAGGATAAGCATTGTACTGCTATCCACAAGGTTGCCAGTTCAAACAGACACACTCCTTGGAAACCCTAATAGAGTCAGTCTGAGTCAGAACCACCTCCAGGGCACTTAACAACCACAGCTGTGCTAACAGGCCACCAATCGTCTGTCAGTCTGCTGTACTGGGGGGCTTGTGTGTTGCTGGAAGGTACGTCACCAGTATTTTAAATACCAACAGGGTCACGCCCCCGATGGTCAGGTTTCAGCAAAGCTTCCTGACAAAGACAAACTAGGAAGAAGGAGAGGCAGACCACTTCTGAAAGACTGGTCACTGCAAACCTTAGGACTAGCAGCTGAAGATGGTCTACCGAATTGCTGGAGGATATACCCACCGGGTTGGAAGGCACTTAAAAATACAACTGGGGAAAAGTTGACACCTCAAAGTAAAGTCAATCTTAGTGATAGAGATGAAGTAAAGTTTTCAGGACGTTCATTTACTGATGGGACACAACTCAAAATGTGAGGAAACAGCTGAAAACATCCATTAAAAATCAGAACATGGAATGTCCAAAATATGAAACTAGAAAAATTAAAAGTAATCATAATGAAATGAAACACATCAAGATCGATACCCTAGACATTAAAGAGCTGAAATGGACTAGTATAAGCCATATTGAATTGGACAGTGTTATGGTTTAATGTGCTGAGAATGACAAATTCAAGAGAAATGGCATCACATTCAGTGTCAAAAAGAGCATTTCAAGATATATTTTGAAGTACAATAGCATCAGATGGATCTTGGCTGAAAGCAGAGCATACCAGAAAGATAAAGGCATTCGACTTTGTGGACTATAGCACTTAACAGTGCTCAAGGCAGTCATTCAAACAGAACGAAGAGATACTGAATGGTTTAAAATCAGAAAAGGTTGTATGCACTCATCACATTTATTTAATCTGTAAACTGAGCAAATAATCCAAGAAGCTGGATTATATGAAGAACATGGTTTTGAGATTGGAGGAAGACTGGTTTATTACCTATGATAGGCAGATGATACACCTTTGCTTGCTGAAAGTAATAAGACTTGAAGTACTTACTGATGAAGGTCAAACGCTATATAAAGCATTTAGTATGAACTGCACCTCTATTTAAGAAAACGATAATCCTCAAAACTCAACCAATAAAAAAATCATGATAAACAGAAAAAGGATAAAAGTTTTCAAAGATTCCATTTTATGTTCCAATCAGTGTTTGGAGTCCTGTTGTGGCTCTGTAGGGTAAGCACTAGACTGCAAGGTAGGTCTGAACCGCAAGGTCAGTGGTTCAAACTCATCAGCCACTCCTTGGGAATCGTACACAAGGTCACTATGAGTCTGAACTGACTCAACAGCACTTAACAAGAACAACACAATTAATGCTAATAGAAGCAGCAATCGATAAATCAAACAACATACAGCAAACCTGCCGTAAAAGTTCATCTATATAGTGTTAAAAAGAAAGGTGTCACTTTGAGGATGAAATTAATCCAAGCCATGGTACGCTCAATTGTTTCATATGCATGTGAAAAAGATGGACAATGAATAAATAAAAGAGACAGAGAAAAACCAGTGCATTTGAATTATGGTGTTGGTGAAGAATACTGATAGTATGTGGACTGTCAGAAGAACAAACAAAGCTGTTTGGGAAGAAATACGACCAGATTACTCTTTAGAAGCAACAATGGCAGGTCTTTGTCTCTTTTACTTTGAACATGCTCTCAGAAGGGACCAGTCCCTGGAGAAGGACATCATGCTTGGTAAAGTGGAGGGTCAGCAAAAAGAAGAGGAAGACGCTCAATGAGATGGATCGACACAGTGGCAACTACAGGTTCAAATGTAACAATTTTGAGGAGGACAGATGACCAAGACCAAGCAGTGTTTGGTTCTGTTGTGCGTTGTGTTGCTATGAGTCAGAACCGACTCAACAGCACTTAACAACAATAACTCGTTCAGTGGGTTAAGTAGTAGGCTGCTGACTGCAAGGTTGGGAGTTCAAACTCACCAGCCATACTGTGGGAGAAAGATAAGGGTATCTGCTCCTGTAAAGATTTATAGCCTTGGAAACCCTATGGAGCAATTAGACTCTATCCTACTGCTGTGAATAGGATCAACTTGAGAGAGCAGTGGGGATTCTGGGCATTTTAGAAGCAACATTACCTGGGCATATATGCTAACAGAAACAGTTGATTCTCATCAATTAACCGATTATCGGAAAGGTCTAGTAACTTCACCATCTGCAGGACACCAGTCGGCCTGTATGGAAAATAAAATTTTTTCAACATTTATTTAATCTGGTTTTCTCTTTTTATTATTTTTTTTAAAAAAATACAGCCCTAAAATACCTTCAATTGCCGGTATAATAAATTATTCCTTTTGATAAAACTGAATCTTATTCAATTTCAATCCTTTCATTGAGAATTTGTTGTAAATTTGTCTACACTTAAGTTTACTATACAGTCACTAAATTATATTAACAAGCCAGAGATGAAGCAACAACATACTGATTTTTAAGAACAAGTTTTTACATACAGTAAGCACACCGACTGTAAGCAGACAGTGCTAATTAGGTATGCACAATTTAATCATTACAATGGATCCTGCCGAACATCTATTTAAATAGCAATTATTTATTGAATTAAAATGAATAAAATCCTTATCTTCAAATACTCCCCAGGCCTTTCAATCTGACTGCTTTTCCTCAATAAATGAGGCAGTTTTAGCTGACATTCTAATTTGTGAAAACAGTAAGAATCGTTTCACTAATTCCTACTTGGAAATCCTCAGAAGACGACTGACTGATAGAACTGTAAGCACTTATTCCGAATGACCAGATGATGGTGATGGGTATCATAGCACACCCCTTTACCTACCTTTCTGAAATGAAAAGATTGTCCGATTCTAGATATAGCTCCTCGAGGACTGGCCACCCAGGGGCACACTGCAGCACCTAGGGAAAGGATGGGTCTCTGTGACTGTTTCCTCCCGTGGGTTTTCTATCCAAACCTCCACATGAATTCAGTTCAGTTATGGACGCCTCATTACACACTGTAGTTTAGGCAAAGCATGTGTGGTGGAAAGGTAACAAAACTGAAATATTAAAGGGTCGTATTTTAATGATATGGTGGTTTTTGTTAAATGCTGTCGAGTCAGTTCTGACTCATAGTGACCCGGTTATAGGGAGCGCTTCCAAGGAGCAGCTGGTGGGTTTGAATTGCCAAACAAGCAGTCTAGTGCTTACTCTATAGCACCACACCAGGATTAGATACATTATTGATGCTTTGGACCAAATAAGGCGGGCAGAAGTGCATCATCGGGGTACATCCTGATATAAGGCAGCTATAAAACTGAACTGGAGACGCTGATACAACATATTGTTTTTGTTTGATATCCTTTGCTTAACCAAGGAGATTTGTGTTACACAACTTTCTCCTCAGTTCTGGACGCCAATATAGGTTTGTAAAGAATACACTAATCAGAACAAAGTTTCTCAACTCTTCATGTATGTTCTCATTTGAACTTTGTTGTCACTTCTAACACCTGGTTTAATATCTGCCATTAATAATAGGTCTCTGATGACTGCTTTTTTCAGTGAGTTGCCTACTGAGACCTCTACAAGAATTCCGTTTAGTTACCGCAGTAGAAAGTAAGTACAGACATCACATTACACACTGTATTTCAGCAACTGAATGTTTGGTGAGGAAGAGAAACAGCTAAAACGTTAAAGGGCCCAATTTGAACCATATAATAAGAGACTCTGAACCAACCAAGGTACGCAGAAATGCATCATTCTGGTTTATCCTTAACTGTATTAAGGCAGCTACAAAACTGAACTGGAGATCCTGAGTTAGCACATTCTTTTGGTTTAACATTGTTTGCTTAACCAAGGAAATGAATATTACACACTCTTCGCCTTAATTCTGGATGCCAATCTAGGTTTGTAAAGAATCATTAATTAGAACATAGTTTCTCAACTATTTCTAAGTGTTCTCATTTGTACCCTGTTGCCATTTGAATCACATGACTTTCTATCTGTCACTGAAAGCACTGGTCTCTGCTGACTGTTCTTCCCATGTGTTCACTAGCAAAAGCCCCACATAAATTCAGTCCACTTACTGTTTTAGAAAATACACATATCACAGATATCTCAGTACAAACTACGCTCTGGCAAAGAGTGTTTAGTGGGGAGGTGATAAGGGTCACTTTTTCACTGATATGTTAGATACACTTTGACAGTATGAACCAACCGATGTAAGCCAAATGCATCATCTGGGTTTATCCTGAACTGTTTTAAGGTAGCTACATAACTGAATGCTTTTGAGTTACGGTGTTGGAGGAGAATATTGAAAGTGCCATGGCTGCCAAAAGGACCAACAGATCTGTTTTGGAAGAAGTGCAGCCAGAGTGTTCCTTGGAGGCCAGGATGACCAAAGTTCATCTCTCATACTTTGGACATATTGTCAGAAGGGACCAGTCATTGGAGACGGATATCATGTTTGGTAAGGTGGTGGCTCAGAGAAAAAGAGGAAGACCCCCAGTGACATGGAATGGCAAAGTGGCAGCATCAATGGGCTCAAGCGTGGCAACAATAGTGAGGTTGGCTCAGGATCGGGCAGTGTTTCATTCTGTTGTTCATAAGGTCACTATGGGTCAGAACCAACTCGATGGCACCTAACAACAACAACAACATATAACTGAGTGGAGATATTGATGCAACACATTCTTTTTGGTTAATATCATTGGCCTAACCAAGGATATTGATGTTACACATCTTTCTCCTCAATACTGGATGCCAATCTAGGTTTATAAAAAAGATAATAATCTGAAGATTAGTATCTTTAGAATCAATGACAAATTGAAGAGGAATGGTGTTGCATTCATTGTCAAAAAGAACATATACAGATCACTGCATGAGGTACAATGCTGTCGCTGATAGGATAATATCCATGCACCTACAGGGAAGCCCAGTTAATACCACTATTATTCTAATTTATGCACCAACCACTAAAGCCAGTGAGGATGAAATAGAAGAATTCTACCAACATCTTCAACCAGAAATTAATCAAACATGCAATCAAAATTTATTGATCATTACTGGTGCCTGGAATGCAAAGGTTGAAAGCAAAGAGGAAGGATCAGTAGTTGGAAAATATGGCCGTGTGATAGAAATGATGCTGGAGATTTCATGACAGAATTCTGCAAAATCAATGATTTGTTCATTTCAAATACCTTCTTTAGAAAGCATAACAGGTGACTATACACATGGTCCTCGCCAGATGAAATACATAGAAATCAAAGTGACTACTTCTGCATAAAGAGACGATGGAAAAGCTCCATATCATCAGTAAAAACAAGGGCAGGGGCAGACTGTGGTACAGAACATCAATTACTCATATGCAAATTCAAACTGAAGCGGAAGAAAATGAAAACAAGTCCACAAGAGCCAAACTATGACCTTGAGCATATCCCACCTGAATTTAGATATCATCTGAAGAACAGATTTGATACATTACACACTAAAGACCGAAGACCAGAACAGTTATGGGATGACATCAAGAACATCATACATGAAGAAAGCAAAAAGTCATTAAGTAGACAAAAAAGAAGGAAAAAGTCAAAATGGATATCAGAAGAGACACTGACACTTGCTCTCTAGCATAGAGATGCTAAAGCAAATGGAAGAAATGAGGAGGTACAAGAGCTAAACTTAGAAAATTTCAAAGATCAGCTTGAGAATATAAAGCCAAATATTACAACAAAATGTGCAAAATTCTGGAGTTAGAGAACCAAAAAAGAAAAACACGCTCAGCATTTGTCAAGGTAGAGGAACTGAAGAAAAAATTCAAGCTTCGACTTTCGTTATTAAAAGATTACCTGGGCAAATTATTGAATGATGCAGAAAGCATCAAGAAAAGGTGAAAGGAATACACAGAGTCACTGTACCAAAAGGACATGGTTGATGTTCAACCGTTTCAAGAGGTAGCATATGATCACGAGCCAATGACACTGAAGGAGGAAGTCCAAGGTGCATTGAAGGAATTGGGAAAGAACAATGCACCTGGAATTGATGGAAAAAAATATGAAATCTTTCAAGAAAGTGAGGCGGCACAGGAGGCACTCACTCATCTCTGCCAAGAAATTTGGAAGACAACTATCTGGCCGACTGATTGGAAGAGATCCATATTGCTGCCCTATTCAAAGAGACGTGACCCAACGGAATGCGGAAATCATCGGACAATCTCTTTGATATCCCATGAGAGTAAAGTTTTGCTATAGGTAATACAGAAACGGCTACAATCATACATTGACAGAGAACTACCAGAGGTTCAAGCCAGATTCAGGAGGATCCGCGGAATGAGGGATATCATTGCTGATGTCCGATGGATGTTGGCTGAAAGCAGAGCATATCAGAAAGATGTTTACCTGTGGTTTATTGACTATGCAAAGGCTTTCAATTGTGTAGATCCTGAGAAGCTATGGACAACATTGCAAAGTATGAGTATTCCAGAACACTTAATTATGCTCATGAGGAATCTGTACATTGACCAAGAGGCAGCTGTTCAAATAGAACAAGGGAACACTAAATGGTTTAAAATTAAGAAAGGTGTATGACAAGGTTGTATTCTTTCACCATATTTATTCAACCTGTATGCTTAGCAAATAATCCGAGAAGCTGGGTTCTATGAAGAAAAACATGGCATCAGGATTGGAGGAACACTCATTAACAACCTGCAATATGCAGATGATACAACCTTGCTTGCTGAAAAGTCAAGAGGACTTAAAACATTTACTGATGGCAATCAAAGAGCACAGCCTTCAGTATGGATTCCATCTCAACGTCAAGAAAACACAAATCCTCACCATTGGACCAATAAACAACATTCTTATCAATGGAGAAAAGACTGGAATTGTCAAAGACTTCATTCTTCTTGGATCAACTATCAACAGTCAAGAAATCAAACGACGTATTGCATTAGGCAAATCTGCTGCACAGAAACTTTTTAAAGTGTTGAAGAGCAAAGATGACAGCTTGAGGACTAAGGTGCGCCTGACCCAAGCCATGGTATTTTCATAACCTCACACGCATGCAAAGCTGGACAGTAAACAATCATTATAATGAAACAAAGTATCTGACTCATTGAGTGTAAAACTGATAATCTGCATTGTAAACCTTCACTCATTCACAATAAAGTGTTTTTAAATTTTAAAAATTATCACCCCAAAATATACTAAAAGTTTCTCAGCTATTTCTAAATCTTCTCACTTGATCTTTGTTGACATTTCGATCACCTGACTTTCTCTCTGCCTTTCCTGTTACAGTACTAACCCTAAACTTTAAGAATTTACAAAACAAAGCATAATAGAAGAGAAAGTAATTAGCTGATACTGACTAAAGGAAAATTAATCCCCAACTGAAGTGTTTCTGGCTTTTCACAGATGAACAAAATTGTTGGGAATATACTAATCTGCCTGATTTTTAAATGGAATATTCTGAGTATGTAAATGGTAAATCCTTCACCAAAAAAAAAAAAAAATCGAGTACCAAATATAAGTTTCAACTAGCTATAGTGAAGGACGACTATTCTTTTGATCCCAGCTAAATACAATGGCGTCTTGTTGTGGCGTTGTAGGATCAAGACTGGACTGCTAACCACAAGGTCTGCGGTTTAAACTCACTAGCTGCTTCTCGGAAGCCCTATACAGGGTCGCTTATGAGTCGAAACCAACTCAATGGCACTTCACAATAGCAACAACAACAAATACAATGAACAGTGGACTAATATAGCTAAACTTCAGATTAACAGAATTGTTGGGAATGTACTAACACGATGTGATGGCCTTTCTGCTGATCTTCTCCTGCGTGAAGGAAACAGGTGATAAAACTCAGGTAGGTAAATTTAGCTCTGTAGCTAAACAAAAGGCTTTGAAAAAAAGCTCATTACATAGTTAACTGCATACCACTATGGAGAGTCAATGTTCAGGAAGATTCCAGAACAAATCAAAATGAGCCGAGAGAGAGAGAAAATGAATTCTGAAATATAACATTTTACTTAACTCCAATGATTTTTTAACTCTTTCTGTAAGGCAAGATAAAAAGTGTGATTATTTACATAACAAAATGATTAAAATGAAGCCAGATTTGTGCTTTGATTCCCTATTATTAAACCAATCACTTCAAGTTGCTTATTACTAGGTTAAACCACATACACACACAAAGGCAACTGATTACCTCAGCCCATGTTATCTCTGTTCTATTAAGAACTAAAATCTTCAGTGCAGAAAATGTTCCCGTCATACATGGTGAACTGGAGGGAAACTGGAGTTTATTTTCACTGTGTGGAAAAAGAAGACACATTGTATTTATTATTAAATGAGCAGATTTAACCAAAACATTCACTGAAAGCAACACTATGGAATATAATCTGAGGCTTTGGGTTTCCTTCAACTTTAAAATGACTCTATTAAAAAGAAAGTAAGTCAGGCTACCAGTATTTTATATTTACAATATACGTTTGGGGTACCTGACATGCAAAGATATCATCACAGGGTGAGGGGAGCTATGTGAGGCTCTTCCTGAATCATGATTTACGCATTTCTAACATTAGTTTTCCATTTTCCAAACATGTGGCTCTTGACATGGATGGCAAAATGAAATCTCATTTTCAAGACTCTTACTATACTATGCTAGACTGTGGGCTGGAATTGTGGCGCTGTGGGTTAATGCGCTGGACTGCAAAGTCAGTTTGAACCACAAAGTCTGTGGTTCAAGCTCACCAGCCACTTATTGGAAACCCTATACAGGGCCTCTATGGGCCGGAACCAATTCAACGGCACTTAACAATAACAACAATAAACATAAAGTCTACTGTCAGAATGGAAGAAATTATTGTCCTTAAAATTGTCTCTAAAAATTCAAATCTTTAAAAGTACTCAATCCTGATAATCACTTTGGGAAAAAATGAGAAAAGCATTTGCCTATATTGCCAGAAGCAGAGATAGCACCATGGGTCAACTAGAACCCACTTGCTCTATTTGGTAGGAAAGCTCATTTAGGCCCAATGACCTGTTCAACTGTGCAGGGCTAAGTCACATACATATCGCCTGTTTATGCACAGTTAGTTCATTGGTTCAAGTGTGAAAGGGGAACTCTGACTGAGTCTTGGAAAAATGAATTTTTCAAATTAAATGTAGTCAAATATTCAGAAGACCGAAAAAACTGGGACATTAGTAAAATATGTAGATTAGTGAAAAATCCTTATCAAAACTCAATTAAATAGTATCCCAATGAAACCATTCATTGCTAAAGCAATATAAATGCCAGAAGCTTCAAAATAAACATTTTTAATAACATCACTTCTCCCCA